ACGTCCTAAATTGTGGGGCTCCCAAGCAAAAAGGTCATTATTGTTAAAAAGCAATTCTTCCATTCTGTCATGATCGTCGTCCCAAAGATCCCCTATATCTAACTCTAAGTCCTGGAGAGACTCCTCAACTTCGTCGAAGTAATACTTATGATCGGGTTCAGGATCATCACCGTTGAAATCAAGGGGACTTTCATCGTCTCCTAGTTCATAGTCATCGTCACTATCCATGTTCCACCATGCCTTACCCACTCCTCGTCCTTCTGGTTTAACATTATACCATGGCCTCACAGTCTCATCATCGGAGTCTTCAGCAATTTTAGTCGGTACTTCATCATCATTACGACGATATTGAAAAAGTGTCCTTTCGTCTTCAGAAAATCCAAAAAGGTGATCCTCTAATCCCTCCTCTTCTTCAAACTCACTCTTAGACTCTTCCTCTGTTCCCGATTCCTCAGTTTTGTTCATGTCGGCTTTTTGGACTTCGATTTTAGGAGAACGGTTATCTTGAATCGGGGTATGTTGAAGCCTCCAGAATTCGACGGAGACTACGACTTCCCAATCATTCCAATGGAACGTCATCTCAGAGCTGGTGTAATTTATGTTAGCATTTACCTTAGATAACCAGTCATTACCGACGATAGCTTGATAAGATGCAGTGTCTGTAACGACCACGTCGACAGGGACAATAACTCCTCCGACGGAAAAGGGGAAGTCGGAGATTCTCCCAGGGCTTTTTTACTACGACCGTGAACGTTGACCATTTTGACTTTGGAAGGCCTCTCTACCTTAATGCCCAATTCGCCAAGCAAATAGGACGACACAACACTTCCGGAGGAACTGCTGTCGACTATGAGGGGAATAATCTTATCATGGATATGGTGTCACAATATAGGGCAGTTGACCTAGAAGAGGGCTGCAGATTAACCATAACACAGGTTCTTCTCTTAGGGGCATTGGTCTTGCGGAGGCTTTTAGCTAAGTCAACCCGATAAGAAGGAACCACCTGCAAGAGTTAACCAAACGTGATATTGGCAGGTTTATCACGAATATCAGAAATAATGGAGTACCGGGGGATTAGAGCAGAAATTTGGGATGGATTCTCTTCAGCCTTTTTCTTTTTAACAGGGGCTGCTTTCACCTCCTTCTTGTGCTTAGACGCTGTGGTGACTTTTCTTTTGGCTTCCCGCTCAACTTCCGAAATCTCTTCTTGGTCCCCAGCCTGTTCCTCTTTGAGAAGTTCTCCAAGGGTCGAATCTTCAACACGTTGTCTTTTGGCACGAGTGGAACGAACCATTTTCGCAGATTCTTCAGCCGGGAGAAACAGGAGATCGTCCTCATCAAAGTGAAGGTTCAGAAATGTTTGGGCTTCGGATCCTCCTACTCGGTTAGGGGTATCAGAATTATTGTTAACTGGGGGATTGGTTCGGGCAGCATTAGATCTTCCAAGGGGAATGGCATTACTTCCAGTAGCCAC